GCTCGGGCTCGTCTTTTGACCAGCCCGAGCGGCTCGTGGGCGTGAACAGTATGAGCCGAGCAGGCGTGACACCACTACGTCTCTACCGCCGTGAATCCTGTTGTCGCTGGTGATGGTAACAAAATCCCACTAAGAAGTTCTAAGGCTTGCACTCTTTCTCCTTTTGTAATTCACTTTTCTTTGTTTTTTGTTCTTCTGTTATCGGATTTGGGAAAAATTTGTTTATATGTTGGGTAAAATTTTTGCAGTTTGATTCTTATTTGATTTTGTTTTGTTTAATCTATTTGGGAATCTCATTAACAAACAGTAATTTTTAGGTTTGAAATATTTATTGATGTTATTATTAATATTACTTTGATTATTAATGTCCCTTTAATTTTTTTTTCTTTGTTATGGTAAAATAGAAATACTAATTTTGAAATTTATATCTGAAAATTTATGCATGGAAAATTGGATGTTATTAGCTTTATTTTGAGTGTCGTGGTGGTGGTAGAATATTCTGATGTCGTTTGTTGTGTTATTTACTTTTTATTTTTGGTTTTTCTAATTATCTGCTGGGTGGTAGTGATGTTGATCTGGTGATGATATATTATAAATGATGGTGGCGATAACGTAACACTTTTTATTCCGATGACAACGATATCGGTGGCGTTGACAGTAGCAGCAGTGTGATGCCCTTCTCAAAATTTTATCATTTTTTTTTGAAATTCTATTGCACTAGAATTTAATGATATGTATTTGACTCGGGTATGCATTTCAAGTAAAATAGAAATATACTACATAAATCGAAAGGAAGATGTAAATAAAGAGTTATAAGAACCAAGAAGATTTTGATGGGTCTTTAATAAAGGTGAACTCCAACTTTGAGGGTTCCCCATCGTCTCGCCTCTAGAGCATCGTGGAGGAGGTAAATTTCGGGATGTGCCTCAGCAGGCTATGATACAAGAATTGTTATATTGGTGTTCACAAAGAGTCAAATTTCATACCTTATAATAGGTAGAAATCGAACCATCACACTGCGGCTGCCAGTTTAGTTGAGACTATTTCACTCATGTTCTTTGCACCGCTGAGCTATGTCCCGAGCGCCGTCTTTAATAATTATGTGAAAAATGTGTGTACATGAAAAAAAAAATGAGAGAGATAATTTGCCACACTTCTTTTTATTCTAGTTAATAAGTGGGACACGTGACAAGTGAACATGGTTAGTCTTGTTTATTTAATGTAATTGTCACGAGTAAAATTAATTGATAGAATAATGTGGGGCCAAGTGAGTTGAATGGTAAATGGAAAGGCAATACATATCTCAAGTTTAAATCAAATTTGGTTATAATTTTGTGTCGACAATAGTTTTTATATAGCATTGATGGGAAGTCCTTTTATATTTTTATTATTATGATTTTTAGGATCCTATGATGTGATTAATCTAGAAATTAGTTTATCAATGCAAATCTTGATCCAGAAAAATATTGATATTTTTCAACTACAATATTAATACATGAAATTATGTGCTTATAGTGTATGATTATTAAGTGACATGGTAACATGACATAGTTGTGCATTAAGTTTGGGAAACATATGGGCATTACGTTTTCAAGGCCATGTATACTTTTATCATCATTTATATCGAATTTATAACAAGTTTGTGGTTGGCAATTGTGAGTGTGGATCCTATTATAGACGTGTCGTACTATAGTGTCTGGATAAATATATCATTTGAGGCTCTTAATGGCCATTAAAGGTAGTGTAGGAGTATTTGGAGTTCGGCACTCGTATACAGTCAGTGTTAGGAGGTCCCTTGGGACTGCGAATAGGCACACGAAGCACTGTATGCATAGGCTAGGTCTTTAATTTACATTTGTTTTATACTAATGTGGCATCCTGAGTTTCAGTGGACAGTCATGAATGTACTGACATTGCTTTGTGCACAAGGAATGGCTATGCTATTATGACTTCATATAGTACGCTATAATATTCATTCGAGCCCAAGTATGCTTGATATATACATCATTCTACCATCATATTTACTGTACTTTAGTGTTCACTCTTTATGTTTTGTTCTGTAGATGGCTCCTTAGGAAACTGAAATTATTCGAACATCCAGAAATGTCGAGATTACCGAGTACTTTACTGCTATGCATGTTACCTACACCTGTACACACTACTCGTTTTTACATTGCCATTGATAAGGAGGGAACGGAGAGTTTCGAAGAATATAGAGACTTCATACCGGTTATAGTTGATGTTTACGATTTGATTATAAGTCAATATGTTAATAATATAATATATATGTTGAGTAAACACTAATGCATTAGTATGTAAAATAGGGAGATTGTACATAGTTGAAGTATATAGTGAAAGTGGGATAATTTATCTGACACAGGCACACCATCGCACCGGGTTGTTATTTATTAGTTCTTAAGGAACTCTTTGAAAATTAAGTACTTTTCATCCAAATTTGAGTTGTGATAAAGTCAACCGGGCATCAAATATATTTTGCAAAACAAGTCTTCATTTGGTATGGTAAATTTTATATTATACTGACTAATTTAATAGAGTCACCTAATTTCATATTATACTAAAAGAAGACTTGTTTTACGGGGTTGGCTATATTACAACCCAACTTTGGATCAAAAGAAATGCCCACTAAAATTTTCAAAGAGTTCCTTAAGATCAAACAAATAACAAGCTCATATCCAAAGAAAAAAAAAAAACAAAACAAATAACAAGCTAGTGCGACAATATACCTGCGTCAGATAAGTTATCCTAATTTCATTATGTACTTCCACTATATACAATTACCATATTTTACATACTAGCACATCAATATCTACTCCACATATATCATGATATTAACACAACGATATATAATCAAATAGTAAACAATAACCAGTACAAAGTATCTGCATTCTTCGAAAGTCTTTGTCCCCTCTTCCTCATTAATGACAGTGCAAAAACGAGTATAGTGTGTACATGCGTAGGTAACATGCATAGCAGTAAATTCCTTAGTAATCTTGGCATTCCTGGTCGTCCAAATCTCCCGAGGTATCATCTATAGTACAAAACATAAAGCGTGAACACTAAAGTTCAATAAATATGATGGTGCAATAATTATATCATGCATACTTGGACTCATGATGGTGCAATAATTATATCATGCATACTTGGACTCGAATCTTTATTATAGTGTACCGTATGAACTCAGAATAACATAACCATTATTTGCGTACAAAATAATGATAATGAATCCGTCATTGCCCACCGAGACTCAAGATGCCACATCAGTATGAAAAATGTAAATCAAATTATGCATGGCCTACGTATGCAGTGCTTCGCGAGCATATTCATAGTCCCAAGGCCACTAAGAGACCTCATGACATCACCTATATACAGGTGCCGAACTCCAAATACTATATCCTCTGCTATCTTTAATGACCGTCGAAGCCTAAAATGGTATATTTATCCAGACATAATAGTACGGTATATCTATAATGAGATCCATACTCCCAACCACAAACTTAATATAAATGACGATAAAAGGTAAGGCCTTGAAAACGTAACCATCCATACTTTTCCTAATCAACTTAATGCACATGTATGTCACGTTACCATGTCACATAATAATAATAATAAGCACATAATTTCACATTAATATGTTTTGTACTGTAGTTGAAAAACATCA